CAATCAGTGAGTGAATTAGTGCTCGCCAACAAAGATGGTGAAAAATAAAATCAAAGGATTTAAAGGATCACCCCTGTAATAACTTGACTGTAGTAATTCTCACCTGTGTATGCTTATGTAACCCTAGAAGATTATTCTTGTTTGATTTCTCCTTTCCACGCCTGCTGCCCAATTTCCCCACGGTGATCATTAGTGTTTGTAATCTTAATCCGATCTTTAAATCCAGTGCGGGCAGGGTGATAGACGGACCTTAATTTGTCTCACCTCTTGTCTGAGGCCATGAAGCCATCATACTCGGCAGACATCTTGCAGGCAGAGCCTGCTGCTGTGTGATCAGACTGGCAGCCTGTTACCACTATGTTGTGACCTGGACAGAGCAAGATAGAGGAAGATGTGTTATACAACTGGATTTTCCTCTGTTTCAAAGGTGTTCCACATGATTATACTGCGGATATTGATGCTTATGTACTTTTGTATAGTAAATTTTCTAACCAAATAACTAATAAGCCCAGTTTACAAATCTGTAAACTGGGTTTATTAGCGAGTGATGGCAGTTGAGTTTCTATAATCTGCTGGATGGGTTGAGGGCTCTGTGCAGGCCACTGTGACACATCTATGTGTCCCTAAGCAAGACACTTAACCCCTAGTTGCTCCACAGGCGTGCAACCTCTGACATATTGTTGCCAGTTGGAAGCACACTACACTCTAAAATATTGTTGTTTGTTATAGCATTATGACTTCCTTTCATTTGAAATAAGGGGACTAGCCCTAACGATGAAACAGCCTGAGACTAAAGTACACAGACATATGTGTCCACATACTTTTGAGCATACAGTATGTAGATCTTGATCTAAATCTACATTTGAGATTTTGTGTGAGATCCAAGATTGCTGCTTACCATCTGAACGTAAATCCTCATCCTCCGTGTCGGTGAAAATGAATGTCTAGACAGAAAACAGAGAAAAACAAAAAGATGGAAAGGGATTTAAATACACCAGCTTTGATTACATCCTTCTATTTCTGAAAGCACCTTCATTAAGGAGTAAACACACACACACACACACTCATATACATGGGATCAATATCGTTTTGAATGGAGCAAATTCAATGTGACAAAAACAAGGTTCCCCACTGTGAGCTAGTCATTGCACACAGAGCACAAACAGACTGCTGCAAGATTTTTGATCCATAGTGTTAAGAGGGGCATTTTATGGCAAAGTCAATTTGTTTTTAGGCATACATATGAGTTATGTCGAACCAAATGCACTCACAAACACCTTGATGTTACTACTCTCACAGCCTATTCTCAAAGAAAGAAAGAAAGATAGATAGATAGATAGATAGATAGATAAGAATATGTAGTACAACACTGATCTCTGGTGATGCAAAAGTGTAACAACACTCAACCCTTGAAGCTTCCAAACTGCAGATTTATTTTTATTTTACTTTTTTGGAGGAACATTGGTTTATTATTTGCTTTGTTTAAGTTTATTATCTAAATTGTAATTGAATATAAATATTTAAATGTCAGATTTATTTGCCTCGTGGTTATTAAGGCTTTCCTCCTTAAAACCCTATTATAATAATAATTGTCACATACAATATTTATCATATGATTATCTTTGTCTGTCCATGTCCAAAAGGAAAGTGCTGCCCAAACATAGCATTGCTTGTTATGGCAAGATACCAGACAAAATAACAAGTATACATACTTGTGAAAATATGCCATCAAATTGTTTTTATTGATATTTTCAAAAGAATTCAATCAAGATAAGTTTCTTTATTCGTTTCTCAAGGGACATTATGAGCCAAGTCAGTTTGTAAACACAAATACACATAAAAAATCACACACATAACATCTAGAGGTATGACTTAGAAAATACGATAATATAAGAAAATAGTGTTTAAGTAGATCAAAATGCAATGCAATTACATAATAAAAAAATAAATACAAAAATGAACACCTATTTTGTGACATTCCAAGAAAAATGTAATACATTATTTGGCTTTTAAATCATCAAATCATTCACTATTCCTTTACAATTCAAAAACATTTCAGAAATTCCACAACTAGTTTCATCTATCACGAGACCTCACTGAAAAGATAAAAATCAGTATTGTGCACGAGTCACTGAGAGTGGGGATGTTTGTACCAGGGGATTGGAACAGGCAACGCTTGCGTCACACTCCATCTCTGCAGCCCCTCAGGCTGAGCCATGCGGCGTGTTCGACTTTCTTTGCCAGGAAGGCACTAAATAACTTCAGAGTGGGGTACATCACCCGTTAAATGAGATAAACACAAACCATAACCCATGTTTTATTCAACCCCTGGAATGTATTGATTTATCTTTGAATTTTGGTTGGAAAACAAGAATACAAAAATGTTTTTATTACGTATATGTGTGGCCCTAAATAATTTTGATTAGATTAGATACACTAAGATGAAAAGCACACAAAATAGATCTTACATATGATGTCAACTGTCTTGCTAGTAGATATCAGAATGAGGAGATAGGATGAAGTGTGAAGTGAACAGGGCGTAAAACTAAATTTCCCACCATAGAGACACTAAATGTATGATATGTGTCAGTTTACATGTGTCTGTCAGACTGTGAGTGTGTGTGCGTGTGCGCACGTGCGTGTGCGTGTGTGCGTGTGTGCGTCCATAGACAGCATGATGTGGAGACATGTAGTGAGAGAAAAGCTTTCCAGACTGCCTGAGAGGAAGCTCCAGCTAATAACTGTAATCCCTGGATTACATGATCAGATTATAAAAATATCATCCAGGGTTACCTTGTAAAAAACAAAAAAAAGAAGTGGTCTTTTTATATATGAATAACAGCAATATTTCGGGTTTCATAAACTTTGGATGGTCAAAGAGATCAGAAAGAGGAATACAGACAGAGAAGAGAATTGGAATTGAATGGAAGTTGTTCTGCAGCCATCCCGCAGAACAGGGACGTGCACAGGGGGGTTGCTCTGGTTGCCCGGGCAACTGCCCGTTTGCCTTTCCTGACTCAAGTTGCCCTTCCGACTCGCCCTTCCGAGAAAAAAAAATAAAAAAAAAATAATCGCGATCGCAAAGCCTCATTCACTTCCATTCGGGCTTCGAAAGTGAAAGTCAGTAGGGGAAGGGCAAACTCTGTTTAAGTGGCTGCACTGCTGCAGCGCTGCCTGCACGTCAGTCGATTCTGTTCCCTACCGGAATTCCTGTTTCCTTCCTTTATGCAATCATACTACAACAAATCATGCGTAGTTTTGCCCAGTTACCATACGTGATACGTACCAACAGAAGTGAATACGAGCTAGAAGCGCAACTGAATGTACGGTAAGCCAAAAGGTTAAAAAAGGATTGTATTTTTTTCCGAAATCTAAGCGTTTTTTTATTTAATATTTTATTAGAAGCGAGTTTTCCCCATCTGTCAATTCAATCTAGATTATTTATTTTCAAATAAAAAAAAAAGGAAAAAAAATAAAAATAATAATGATTAAAAAAACAATAAACAATAATATAAGGAACTCTTTTTCTCATATGTATTTTGGTGACATTTATATTGTTAATACATTTTGGATACTGTGTTTAGTGTTTACAAAGTTGTATATCATAAACCTGTCATCTCACTCTGACGTTTTGCAATATAAATAATAAAAAATAAATAGGACAGTCAAGTCTATGCTCGAAGTATTCAAGGAAAACAATGCTAACGTCATATTCCCCACACTATTCAAACTAATCAAAATATATGCCACTCTACCCACTGCAACGGTAGAACGTTCCTTTTCAAAGTTGAAGCTGGTCAAATCAAGGCTCAGAAATCAGTGTGGTCAAGAGAGGCTGTCTGACCTCCTCCTGCTGGCGATAGAGAAGGACATAGGAATTGACAAGGAAGAAGTTCTGAAGATTTTTGTTGAAATGGCCCCTAATAGGCGGCTTCTCCTCTGAAGCTTTGCATGTTTATTATCCAAATGTGGAGCAACCTATCAGTGAGTTGATAGGATATTGATGTAGGTATTTCATGACTCGAGTCATGTTTTTCTGTTTTGTTATTAATAGTAGTTTAGGTTATTGAGTGCTGTAGTTAAGTTTTTTTACTTTTTGTATATTTTTTAATAAAAAAATGTTTTTTTCTCAGTCCTTCATATAGCCCATGTTTTTTTGTTTGGTTTTTTTTGGGGGGGGGTGCCTTTTTTCAGGTCAGAGCAACTGCCCTTCAAAATTCCTGTGCACGTCCCTGCCGCAGAAGGCAACAGTGCTACTGTTTCCTCCAGATGTGTATGTGCTTGTTCTAGTTCTCTTACCTTTTTGAGGCTTTTGGAAAGTGAGGACATTTTGGCCACTTATTAAAAAAACTTGGTTTTAGATTTAAAGTTAGAATTAAGTTTAGTTTAATGTTAGGGTAAGGTGGGTTAGACATGTAGCTGTGATGTTTAAAGGGGCATTATGGAGTTTCCAGCGGCCACTAGCGGTGCGGTTTTAAGATTGCTACCAAGATTGCTCGTACGCGTGCTCGCTTGTACTCATGAGCGAGCATAATCTGAAACTTTCATACAGAACTCCTGAAATAAATGCAGGAACACCAGCATGCAGGCTGTGGCTTTTCACTCAGACATGTTCAGGCTCTGTTACTTCAACGTTCCCGTCTCAGAGGCAGATCAACACCGGCTCAATCCTCCTGGGAAAAAGGCAGAGTGACAGAAGCAATAGACAGGCAGGGAGACAGCTTAAATCAACAGCGGTACACAGGATAGTAAGATGGCTGGCGTTAGTTGGTCAGAGTACCCGCGGGGTCTTAAAAGTATTAAAGTCTTAAATGTCATATTCCAAAAATAAGGCCTTAAAGGTATTAAATTTCATTACCAAGGTCTTAAATTTATTCTTGTCCTTTCGTAGGATTAAATAAATGCCGTAACGTCATAAATAAACACTTTTTGTGTGTGACTTTTTACTCCGTTTGGTGTGACTCTGATGTTATACGGCAGTACAGGTAACGTTACTGTTTACGTCAGTGTTTAGCTTTACGCCTGAGAATGGGAAAGTGTCTGAAATTCAGAAAGCCAGAGACACGGACAAGTGGCGGTTGACAGCCTTTAGATGCAAAAAACGAACAGGGTGAATAATCACTGAAGCAATTGGCATATTAAATTACATTACCTTATCTAGCCAAGGTGTAACTAATTGTGTACCACTCATACTGCACAATTTGTTTGTATTTTTGATTTCACCCTTTAAGAGTTCTCATTTACGCTGGGGACACTGGGGACATGTCTACATCGCTTTTTTTTTTAAGCATTTGTTAAATATGTTCTGAAAAATGGCTTGAAACAAACAAAGTATGAAAATACTTTGAGAAAGGTTTATTTGCACAATCATAAAACATGCAGTGCCATTTAAATACAAAAGAAACAAATGTGCATTGTCCAAAAAAGTTTCTTAAGCTAAAAAAAGACAAGCTGCTGAGTACTGCATTATATTCTGTTTAAATTGTCATCTGAATCACTTTATATAAATAAAGACAATTCTACCATATATTGGTGCAGAAAATGTCTCCAGAATGCAGGAAATTAAGTGTTGTGAAATCGTGCATGTGAGCTAAGTTTATCGTCACACCCCTAATCTGAACCCCTATGTCCCCACCACTTCTCAACACAAAGTGACCAGTAAACAGTAACAATACACAGTGAGCAGTAATATACACACACAGACATCCCCTGGGAACGGGATACTTAATTTTCTCGTGATCATGAGATAACAAACCATAGCTGAATACGGGGGCTGGCAGGTGCGTTTCTTTAGGATAATTTCAAAGCAATTACCAGTGTCACTGGTTAGTTCAGTTGGTAGAGCACAGGGCTCAGTTTGATTAGTTTGACTCCTGTTCTTGTTGACTTTCTTTTTCTTCTTTTGTGTGTATTATCCTCTTCAGCAAAATTGTTATGAAGAGAT